ACACACACACACACACACACACACACACACACACACACACACACCCATTTATATATACATTTTCTCTATTGTAGTCCCAAAATACAAAATGATGTATCCTGGTTACCGAGTTTGTTTGTTTGTTTGTTTCTGATTGCTTTTTGTTTTTTGTTGGTGTCGTTTATTTGTTTTTGACAGCTTATGTCCAGAACAGATTGGACTAGGCCCATACCTGTGACAGGCTATCTTGATTATGACTGATGTGCCAAAGGCTGGCCAACTGTGGGCGGCACCAGGTGGGCTTGTGCCGTAAAGTAAAGCTGGATGACCATGAGCCAGTGAGTGAGCAAGCCAGAAAGCAGCATTTCTCCATCGTTGCTGCTCTAGTTCCTGCTTGAGCTCCTGCTCTGACTTCTCTCAATGATGGACTGTGACCTGGAAGTGTAAACTGGAATAACCCCTCTCCTCTCCTCAATTGCTTTTGGTCACAGTGTTCATCAAAGCAACAGAAAGCAGACTAGAACATGCTGACACATGGCTCCTGTAAGGACTACATAACTGAGGGAGACCAATACTTTTTTCCAAACTAGCTAGGAATGTGTGTACCAGGGACCACATGGCTGTTTTATGAAAAAAAAAAAAAAAAAAAGAGCAGTGAGTTCTGTCTTAGGTGTTGCTCAGTGAATAGGCAAATTTGCAAATACAGAATCTACAAATAGTGGGGGTGAGTTGTCAATGTGTATGAAAACAAAAGAGAAACATTTTCAGATGCAATGTTATTCATTGTCCGAAATTCAGATTTAACCAGCCATCCCCTATTTCCTCATTAAATGTGTTTGTTCTCATAGATATGTTAAAAATGGTAAGTTATCAAATTAATGGAGCCTTAGCTTCTGTGAAATAAGGTAACTGTTTTCAGTTTCCTGTGTTAAGATGGTTTAAAGGGGATTGTATTCTTATTTAGATTTCATCTCATGTAGAACATAATTTCTTGCATTCCAAATTGTAGCAGGATATTCATAGATGAATATAATCTAAGCTAGAGATTGGATCATAAGTAACATTGGAGAATATAACAAAGCAATGCTCCCCACCCTCAAATTTAGAAGCTACTATGAAGACAATTATTTTAAACTTACTGAAGTACTGACATTCAAAATAAATTAAGAGTAATCACGAATATGTTGAAAACAGTAAACTTTTGACTTTAGTGCAGTGGGCAATTAAAGATCCTTTTTCCTATATCAGGACTAACACCTACTCCCATATTAGTGTTGGTTGACCAAATGGAAAATATTGGCTATAAATAACTTCAAACTATTCTTGGTTGTCAACTTGACTATGCCTGGAATTAACTAAAACCCCAGTAACTGGATACATCTGTAAGGAATATTTTTCTCAATTAAATCATTTCAAGAGGGAAGACCCACTTTGAGGGGGAAAGGTAGACCATTAATCTGGGCCACACCTTCTGCTGGCAACCTATTAAAGGACGTGGAAGAAGGAAACTTTTGCTCTTTGCTTTAATGCCCTCACTCTCACTGGCAAGTCCATTACTTCACTGGCATTAGAGCCTACTCCTTTGGGGTTCCACATATATTGAAGGTCAGAGGAGACATCCAGCCTCATGCACTGTGCAACTACTGGATTCTTGTTGGAGCTTTCAGTTGGTAGACGGCCATTGTGTTGGACTAGATGGACCACAGCAAGTAAACCATTCTAATAAGTCCCCCATATGTGTGTGTATGTATGTGTGTGTACACAAGTATGGCACAGCAGTTAAGGGTGCCTACTGCACTTACAGAGAACCAGTGTCTGGTTCCCAGTACCTACGTCAGGAAGTTCTTGACTGCCTGGAACTCCACTTCCAAAAGATGCAATGCCCATGGCCTCCCCACGCACCTGCACGTGTGCGCACATACTCATGGGTGCAAACATTTAAAAACAAAGGAAATATTTTTAATTCAGTAAGTTCAGTTTTCTTTTTCTAAACAGTATTGTTCCATAGCTCTGGTACTATCTCTGGCTTGTCTGGTGCTCTCTACGTAGGATAGGCTGGCCTTGAACCCATGAAGATTCATCTGTCTCTGCCTCCTGAGTGCTGGGATCAATGGAATGTGCCACTGTCCCCTGATAAAGCAATAAATTTTTATAGTAAAGTTTTAATAGACAGAAGCATATTAGAAAAGTGAATTAGGAATGTTCACAAAGTGATAGAAAATAAGCAAAATGAGATCAAGAAAGACAGAAATATTAATGTGAAAATAAACACGTTCATGAGTGTTTGGAGGAAAATAATAAAATATTAAAGTATCTGGAAAAAACTTATTTTTTTCATCTCATCTTTTTATTTCCTAAAAATGTCAATCTTGGGCAGGAATATTTTTAAATCTTTTTATTTAATTTTATGTGTATATGTGTGAGTGTTTTGCCTGAATGTGTGTCTGCGCACCACGTGTGTTCCTGATGCCCACGGAAGCCAGGCGAGGGCATATAATTTCCTAGGACTGGAGTTACAAGTGGTTATAAGCTCCCACATAAGTGCTGAGAATCAAATGAAAGCCCTCTGGAAAAGCACTCAGAGCTCTTAACCACTGAGCCATCTGTCCGGCACCACCATAGTAAATACTGGCAGCTTTTTCCATTCTTGGTCCCTGTGTCATCCACTCAACAATGTGTTCTTATTGTGAAAGCAACCAAAGACAATAGGAAAGTGAGTCAAAATCACCATGTTCTGATAAAACTTCATATTTACAAAAGTTTGTGGTACTTCAAATTGGCTCATGAGTCAGCATGGGTTGTAAGCCTCATAGTCAAATAACGAGGTCAGCACTTCTAGAAGAATTTCCAAAGGATCGTGCTAAGAGAACAGAAAGAGGTAGATGATAAATTCAGAACATGGGAGAGAGAATCAAGGGAATAATCCTGAGTTCAAGGCCAGCCTGGGCTACATAGTAAACTTAATTTTCAAGCTATCCAGGGCTATGTAGCAAAGCAAAAGAAAAGAAAACATAAAAGAAAGGAGAAAAATTAGTGTTGAGGGATATTACAGTGTTGAAATCATGAAAAATGAAAGAATAATTAAACAATTTGCTGAGAATGAAGGATACCAACACGTTTATAACTTGGACAGTTCTAGGTACAACTCCACTCCCTGACAAAAGAAGTAAGCAGGTCTGTATTTTTCCCTGACATCTCTCCAGGATACTTTTTTTTTTGGCTAGTCCGTAAACTAGAGTAGTACTTAATTTCTTCATCCACTGACTGGAGATGGTACCTTGATGATGCCGCAGATATGCGGTGGGACAGCATCTTGCACAGGAATTGATGTTTAAATACCCAACAATTGTTAGCTTCGTCTCTGTCCTCTTTCCCTTCCCAGTACCACATTTACATAGATAGATGTACCACCAGACTTAAACCTGACCATGCAGCATCGTACAGTAACCCAACCTGTTTGGGTGAAGCCAGAGGACTCTAAAAAGTCAGTCGTGATAATGTTCTCATTCCTCTACTGCTTTAGGGTGACCGGTCTTAGCACCATCGAATCACCATGCTTTGCTTTACCAGAACTCACAGCACAAAAAAAAAAAAAAAAAAAAAAAAAAGTTGCATACATTTAAGAACCTTGAATATACTTTTGAAGGAAAGAACAGTGCCCTCTTGTCCTGTTCTGAGTTTAACAAACTTATTTCCCTTCCAAAAATGGAAATTTGTATACTATTCTAGACTGTGTGTGAATATTTGTCAGACTGCCTGGTTATGTCGGAAACCAGTTACAAGAAAATCTGTCAGTGCTGGTAAACACACAGAATCCACGGGATTATTATTGCACTGGAAAGCCTGACGTCTGCAGACATCCTTGCAACATCCATCTTTTACGTTTTCATCCACCTCCAAATGAATGAAGACTATCCTACAGTCATGCTTACCTTGTATCCATCTAAACTCATGCTTCCATGGCGATATTTGAAGTTTATCTTTGTCCTGGAAAACATAAATCCCCCAAAAAGAAATTTACTGTGAGGTATTCTCTCTCAACACAGATAGAGAATCCATGTAAGCATAGAGAGGAATGATGTTCCAGGCTAGGAAGGAACTGTGCAGACTCCTGTTGATGGTTCTGTGGGAACTTGCTAGAGAAGACACAGATGGGGACACACTTAATTCCTCACAGTGGCTAACCTGAAAATCGCTTGAGCTTGGCAGGTCAAGTTAGTAGAAGGGGTATATCTCTTACAGTTTTAAGAATCCAAAGAGAACACAGAAACGACGATTACACCATTAAGCTAGTCCCTGCCTATACTGACTGCATGGTTGGAATACAGCTGAGGAGAAGCCTCAGGTGCTATAAATACATCGTTAGATGGATGAAAAGAATAGAAACTAGAGACATTCCCTGGGTTGCAATAATCAAATTATGCATCTTGTATACAAGTAAAGGAGTAAAGTATTACCTTAAAGTACAAACTTTGATATGATAAAAAGTATAATATATGATAAAGAAATTAAGACTCAGTAAAGAAAAACAACTTCCAGAGCCAGCAAAAGCTAAAGTAAGATCTGAATCTAAATTTTCTGCTGCCAGCTTGGGTCTTTGTCCTCTCAACAGCTACTTGTATACAATCTCTGTGTCTTGCACAGTGATTGCCACACTGAACTGTTGACTCCTGGGCCATGCCCTGCGACCTCTTACCTTTTGTTGTTCTTGTTCCCGTCTTTTGAAAATTACTCTCGATAAGAGTAAAGTTACGATCATATAAAAATGCATTTTAGTTGGCATGTTACTTATCAGAGATCAAAACATCTAAGGGAATGAAGGCATTCTCTGGAGATCACACAGAGAGAGATCAAACTTACTTTTTTGTGAGTCTTGGGTTTAGAGTAAGAACATCCTGTGGTCAGAAAAAACACTAAACAGCAAAGCATGGTGACCTGGGGCTTCATTTTCACACATGGGGATCTTAACCTACAACAGAAAAGGAAGAAGGTAGATCCAGCTGAAGGTGACAACTTCATTTGACCCAGAGTGAAACGCTTACTAACTGTGCCAGAGAGTCACTCTGGTGCGACCGGAGTTATAGGAAAGCGGGAACTCAACTGAGAAAGCACCACCATCAGGTTGACCTAGAGACATGTCCGTGGGCATTTTCATGATTAATGATTGATATGAGAGGTCCGCTGTGAACAGCTCAACCTCTGGGCAGATCCTGGGTGATATAAAAACGCAGGCTGCGTAAGCCATGGAGAGCAATCCAGAAATCAACATCCCTCGATGGCCTCTTGCTTCACTTCCTATTCCTGCCTCTTATTCTTACCCAGGCTAGGCTTCCCTTCATGGTGGACTGTGGTTGGGATGTGAAAGGCAGATAAACCCTTCCCTCCTCAAGTTGCCTCTGTCCAGAACATCTATCAAAACAATAGAAAGCAAACCAAGACCCACACCAAAGCCTCTTTAGGAGAGGCCTCTGATACCTATTTTCAATCTAATTAAAATGCAAAAAAAAAAAAAAAGAATTTCTCTCACCCATTGATCTTTCTGTTACAGACAAAAGTAGAAACATCCCAAAAGATGCATGTTCAGCAAATCTCCAGTGTCTGTTACTTGCTCAACAAATTTCTTTAAAGCAATATTTCTCAAACTTTCTTGGGAGTCTGGGAAGATGGTTTAGTCGCACCTGTAATCCCCTAGTACTGGAAAGGCTGTGACAGAAAGAACCCTGGGTCTCACTAGCCAAATCAGCCAGTTCCAGGTTAGTGAGAGACCCTGTCTCAAAAAAAAAAAAAAAAAAAAAAAGAAGATCCAAAGTGAAGGAACAAAACACCAATATCATCCTCAGGCCTACATATGTGCTCAACATTCACACACACACACACACACACACACACACACAGGGGTGGAGGGGAAAGAGACAGACAGAACTATTCAGTTACTATACACCAGGTCTCTAGTCACTAGGGGACAAATAAAGAGGAGAATTAATGTACATGTTTGCTTGCTACTAGATCAAGTGCTGAGACTTTCTATAGTCAGTGAATAAACCACTGTGCAGATAGACTGTAAGCCCTGGAGAGTTATTATCTCTTCTGTGGCCATGTATTGCCTTTTCCTTAACAATCTTTCAAAGTCATACCCGTAACAAAGTACCATTCCCGACTTCGAAGTTCACCACAACACTTCCATTAGGCAATTCAGAATCTTTACTTTCAGAAATTTTTTCTTATAATTTGTGTCTTGAAGGTACAGACACAGAAGAACAAAAATAGCCTGGATATTGGAGACAGAGCTGGGTTCCAATTTTTCTGTCCACTGTTTATAAACTGACTTACCTACCTAGCCTGTTTTCCCATTCATCTTTTAAAGGTAACGTAGATTCATCCTATTTATTATCATTTGTCAGGTGGCTCCTGGATGCAAGAAACTGTACCAGTTGTGAGAAAGTAAAAATAAAAGAGATTAATCTGCATTGGTTACTCTTATGTTTTTATGATAAAACAGAATAGAAGAAGGAATTTAGTTTGAATTACATTTTCATAGGAATGAGTTCATCGTGGAAGAGAGGCGTGGCAATAAGCACCAGGCATTAGAGCAGGACAGGAAGCTGAAAGCGCACATCTCAATTGCAGCCATGAAGCAGAGAGAGTTAACAGAATGTGGGATGATGCTACAAACATTCAAAACCAGTGACATACTTCCACCATCTGGGCCACACCTCCTGATCCTTCCCAAAGAGTGCCACTAACTGGGACTAAGTCTTCAAGTATTGTAGCCATCCACTGTATTGTCCTTTCCTTAAAGGATGCAGTGGAGACTACAGTCAAAAACAGCCAACAATAAGATCATGTCCATACTGCAAGGCTGGGTAAATACAAGTTCTTGGAAACTATCAGAGCCTTTTATTCTCTGCTGCAACTCTGCCCACAACGCAATCTGTAGCCTAGGAGCAGACAAAACTAAGTGATATGGTCTCAGATTTTAGCTATAGGAGACTGGGCCTAACATAGGCTTTCAGGAATCATAGGAGCCTTCGCCTAAAAGGAATCCCAGGTAGTTACAGACAGGCTTCCACATTCTCTTTGAGTTTAAAATTCCAAACCAAGTAGGAAAAGAAATAGTACTTTGGCTTATAACATCATCTTGAAAAACAAGACTAACTTATAAGCTAAAAACTTTAACATATTGAAGAAAAAAATTGAAGAAGATATTAGAAGATAGAAAGATCTCCCATGCTCATGGATTGGTAGAAGTAATATTGTAAAATCCTACCAAAAGCAATCCATAGATTCAGTGCAATACTTATCAAAATTCCAACACAATTCTTCATAGATCTTGAAATGACAATTTTCAGCTTCATATAAAAACACAGTAAACCCAGGAGAGCTAAAACAATCCTGAGTAACAATAGAACAGCGGAAGGTATCACCACCTCCAATTTCAAGTTGCACTATAGAATGTCAAAAAAACAGCATGAAATTTGCACAAAAACAGACATATCAATCGGTGACATTTAATTGAAGACCCAGACATAAATTCACACACCTAAACATTTTTTTAGAAAGAAGACAGAAATACACACTGGACAGTGTGGGGAGAGAGATAGCATCTTCAACAGATGGTCTTGGTTAAACTGGATGTCTGCATGTTGAAGAATCCACAAAGATCCATATCTATTACCCTACACGAAACTCAACTATGAATGGATCAATACCTCTACATAAGACCAAATACACTGAACCTCATGGAAGAGAAATTTGGAAATTTATTGGCAGCCTTGAACTCATTTGCACAGACTAAGACTTTCTGAACAAAACTCCAATAGCACAGGCACTAAGATCAACAATTAATAAATGAGACTTCATGAAACTGAAAACCTTCTGCATGGCAAAGGGCTCTGTCGTTTAGACAAAGCAACATCCTACAGACTAGGAAAGAATTTTTTTTTACCAACTAATAGAGAATATATATGACTATATAAAGAAACTCCCTATATAAAATATTAATATAAAAATAAAATATAAAAGTATATAAAGAACTCAAGAAACTAGATATCAGGAAAACAACCCAGTTTAAATGGGATACAGCTATAAGCAGAGAATTCTCAAAAGAGGGAATTCAATTGGCTGAGTGACATTTTTAAATGGTCTCCTTAGCTATCAGGGAAATGCAGATCAAAACTGCTTTGAGATTTCATCTAACACCCATCAGAATGGCTAAGATCAATAAAAACAAATGACAGCTCATGCTGGCAAGAATGTGGAGTAAGTAGAACACTCATTCATTACTTATGGGAGTGAAAACTTGTACAGCCACTATGTAAATCAGTGTGCCAGGTCCTCAGGAAGATGGAAATCGATCTGTCTCAAGATCCAGCTATACCACTCTTGGGCAAATACCCAAAGGACGTTTCATCCTACCACAGAGACACTTGCTCAACCATGTTTGTTACTGCTCTGTTCGTTACTGCTCTGTTCGTAATAGCCAGAAATGGGGGGGTAGATGTCCCTCACAAGAAGAATGGATAATTTGCACAATGGATTATTACTCATCCATTAAAAAGAATGGAATTCACAGGTAAATATATAGAACTAAAAAAATAATTATCCTGAGTGAGGTATCTCAAACCCAGAAAGACAAATATTGCTTGTATTCACCTATATTTGGATTTCTGTGGTTAAGTCAATAATAACCAAACTACAGTCCATAGGTATGAAGAAACTAGGAAGGACAGATAAGTCTTGTAAAAAAAAAAAAAAAAAAAGGAAACTAGAATAGATATCTCTGGATATCTGGTGGGGGGTGATTGAAAGGGAAGGTTAAGAGGGAAGTGAGAGAGGATGGGGGAGGAAAATGAGAATATGGGGAGAAACAGCTAAAATTAAGGGTCATTTGAGGGATAGTATGTTTCTAATACAGCAGAAACTTTCTAAAATATATACACATATGAAGGTGATATAAATAAACTTGTCAAATAATGAGGAGACAGAAATCTATCTGGACATCTCTTGTCTCAAAGTGAAGCTCCCAGCACTGGGCTTGGGTTACATCTAATTGAATTGTTAGCCAAAAGGTACTGTGGAAATCCTCAAACAATCCAGGCTGTGGCCAAGACTATAGGTTGCTCTCCAAACTGTCAGCAAGGCCTCACTGTTGAAGATAATACCCACACAGCTCATTAAACATGAAGAAGGTAAGCTGGTATCTACACAGAGCCTGCATTCCTTTGGTCCAGAAAGGTACTCTTCATGCCCTCAAAAGAGAAACATTAATGCCAACACAGCTACAAATAATGCTGTCCCGCCTGCAAGATAAGCTAGAGCAATGGCGGCACAAACTTTGTGGGAATAACCAACCAATATCTGATTTGACTTAAGGCCCACTCCACAAGATGGAATCCATACCCAACATGGCTTGGGTGACCAGGAATCTGAGACCATATAGTCCAAGGATCTAGGGTAAAACTATGTACTACTGTTCTTTAAAAAAAAAAAAATGTTTTTAAAGCAATAAAACAACTCAGTGACATTTTGCTACTCTCATAGACTAGTGCCTTGCTCAGCCATCATCAGAGAAACTTTCTCCTGCAGCAGATGGGAACAAATACAGAAACTCACAGCCAGACATTATGCAAAGAGTGAGAGAACTTGGAATCCTCCACCCTAAAGGGAATTTCTCCATCTAATCTCTCCCCCTCAGGGTTCCTGAGAGCCTATGGAAGAGGAGGCAAAAAGAGTGTAAGAACCAGAGGTGGTGGAGGACACCAAGAAAACAAATACCTCTAAATCAACATGATCAAAGCTCATGTGAACTCACAGAGACTGAGACACAGCATTAGACAGCTGCAAGGGTCTGTACCAGCTCCTCTGTGAATGTATCATAGCTTCCTGTTTAGTGTCTTTAATGGATTCCTGAGTGTGCAAACGAATGGGTCTTTGATTCTTGTGCCTTC